CATCCAGGAGAACCTGTTGCTCGTCTCACTCCACTAGGATGGACTTGCGTGGGCAGCCCTGTTATATTAAATCAAAATTATTATACAAGCTTCATTCATTATCCTTGGGCAATTTTGGTATATCGAAGAGATTCCGAGTAAGAAATAGTATTCCATAAGTATTGATGAGAAAACAGCAGTGGTAGCTGATCAAAAATTCATCAAATATGTTGAAGGGAGATATCAAGTTGGCATTCCATGAAGAGAAAGAGTGTTAAAGTTAACAAATAATTACAAAAAAATGGCGAAGTTTCTATTAAACTTATTGCAGCCAAATCGAGATTGGCGCCTTTATCCGCATTAAGCATCCCACGATTAGATCTACTTGGTGCAGTTTTAGGATTAAGATTTAGTCATAGTATTGCAGCAACTTATAAAATTGATATTAAAGAAGTGACATTCTGGACAGACAGCATAAATGTGATATGGTGGATACATATTCAGAGTATAAAATTTAAACCTTTTGTGGCTAATAGAATCGGAGAAATTCATGCTGAAACGAACCCAAGTCAGTGGAGAAACGTTCCAACTAAGGAAAACCCTACTGATGACATAACAAGAGATCTCGCAATAACAGAATTAAAAGAACAAATTAGATGGTGGAAAGGACCAGATTTTCTGGCTGATCAAAAAAAATGGCCGAAAAGAAAACTTTCAGAACTTGATAACAATGATGTAGAAGTAAAAAAGTCTAAAGCAAACTCGACCTTGTTAGTGCTTGTCAAAGATAAAATCTGGAGACTGCAACCTCAGAGATTTTCAAGTTGGATTCGACTTACAAGAGTCCTTGCATGGGTTCGTCGGTTTATCATTAACTGTACGTCATCAAAAGCAAGCGATTCCCAGGAGAACTAATGTCAGAAGAGATCCTTGATGCAGAAAACGAATTAATAAAATTTGCTCAAAAAGAGATTTCCAAAGAAGAGTACAAAGCGCTGTCAGCCAAGAAACCTTTACCAACGACTAGTAAAATACTATGTTTAAGAACAAAAATAGATGAAGATGGTGTATTACGATGTGATGGGCGTTTAAAATATGCAGAATATTTGCCCTACGATGCCAGATTCCCTATTATTCTACCAAGAAAAAGCTGGATAACGAAACTTATAGTAAAGAAGTATCACGAAGAGGGAAAACATGTATCTACATACATGTTTTCCTAATCAGAAATACGTGAGTGGGAAAATCAATGCCAGCATTGCAAAAGGCGAAAAGCTAAAGCCTGGAATCAGATTATGGCACCATACCCAAAGTTTAGATTAAAAATGTCTTTGCATGCATTTTCAAGAACAGCTGTTGATTTTGGTGGTCCATTTATAACAGTGCAAGGAAGAGGTATGAGAAGAACTAAACGTTATTTGTGTTTGTTTACTTGTCTTACATCACGAGCTGTGCAATTTGAAATAGCATTTGGATTGGATACAATCGTATCTAATCCAAATGTTTTTTCCAATAGCTTTTGGATTGCGATTTTAAACGCGTTTAAAATCGATTAGTTTTTAAACGCGTTTTATAGAATGGTTAATCGGCGTGGCCTTCCAAAGGAAATGATTTCGGATAATGGTACTAACTTAGTTGGAGCCAATAAAGAACTTCAAGAGCTTGTAGCTAGTTTAAATAAATAAAAATTAAAACAATCAAAAGCCAATAAAGGAGTTAAATGGTATTTTAACCCTCCAGTTGGACCACATTTTGGAGGAGCCTATGAAACGATGATCAAGTCAGCAAAGAAAGCTATATATAGTATTCTGGGTAATGCCGGTCTTAATGACGAAGAACTGATGACAGCATTTACAGGTGCAGAATCATTAATCAACTCAAGATCTTTAACATACCAGTGTTGCAATCCTGACGATGATGTCTTACATGGTCGAGTAGGTTGAGAATTTGCACCGGAAAAACGTTGATACTGAGGATTTTAGCATAAAAAAAAGTTGGCGCAGAATCCAAGAACTTATCTGTCACTTTTGAAAGAGATGGTTGCAAGAGTGGCTTCCCACCTTAAACTCTAGGAAAAATGGTTTCTCGAAAGAAATGATATTCGGATAGGAAATGTCGTTTTAGTTATATCACCAGATACACCGCGGGGAAAATGGCCATAAGGAATAGTTTTTCAGACGTATTCATGTTAAAGTGAAAGTGAGAAACAGTGAAGTTAAGCAACCTATATCTCGCCTATGTTTATTGAAATGCGAAATTAGTAATGAAATTGAGAAGCCATCAATAAGCGAAAACAATCATAGATTGATGAGCCTACGGCACATTGAAGAGAAGGAGAATGGCGCTAAAGACTTTTTAAGAAAGTTCGAGAATTTCTGGAAACGCGACGATGGTTTAATAGTAATGCGTAAAAAATCTGGTCCACAGCTCAATAAGATTCGAAAAGATTTTTTAAAATTTTTTTTAAATATTGGCTTTCAAATTGAAAAACACATAAATTTAAAAATTGCGAACTTTCTTGATGTCACATTTAACCTCTCTGAAAATTCATATAAGCCCGATGAGTGGAAGTTGTTTTTCAAAAAATGTGGTTTATAAATGTGTTGTTTCCTCTAAAAATGTACCCGATAAACAATATATTGGCATAACAGAGGGTGAATGGAAAAAACGTTTTGCCAATCATAAGCAATCATTTAAAAATAAAAAATATTCAAAAGACACCATGCTGTCAAAAAATATATGGGAACTAAAAGATAAAAATACTAATGATTTTATACTGAATTTGGTCCATCCTTAAAACAGCGCCTGCATACAACAATATTTCCAAAAAATGCATACTATGTCAACAAGAAAAATTTCAAATAATTACACATGCAAACCAAGAATGTTTGTTAAACAAAAAATCGGAATTGATTTCTAAATGCAGGCACGAAAATAAGTTTCTCCTAAAAAACTATATAAAATAAGTGAGCTCAAATAATAGGTACTAGGGATGTACCGAAGCTTCGGCTTCGGTTTGCCGAAGCTTCGGCAATTTTGCCGAAGCTTCGGTTCGGCCGAAGCCATGGTCGTTTTTTGCCGAATCATTGGCTTCGGCAAAAAAATGGACATTACTGAGCTGGCATTCGACTGAGGAAGACATTTTTTAAACGTTCACACGACGTCTGTTTTCCAAATAAAACGTAGTTGAACGTTCAAAATTCTTCTTTTTCTTCTAAGAATAAGCCTCTGATCTATACAATTGTGAAGATTAAATGAATTCAGCGACGGCTTTTGGAGGTGGCAAGGCCGTGTGTAGGGCGGCCAAAAACGACACGATAGCGGATAGAAAATAAAGTTACTTAATCAAACACATTAATTTTTTTATAATCACTCAATATAAGCTGATTTAAACTGTAACATTATAGTAAACTTTATATAATTAAATACCATAACATTAATATTTAGTTATGATCACTCGAGCTTAGCAATAAAACTTATTTATGCATTAGTTGGTCGTAAAATAATGAAAAATTATTAAAATTTAATTTTTTTAGCATTTAGTTATTAGTTAGCATCAACTTCTAAAATCCGAGTTATATTAAATTATATATTTTTTAATATTAAATTAAAATTAAAAATTAAACCTGGAAATAAATCTTCATTTAAAATTACTTAGATGTAACTAAAACCTCCGGATTTTAAGTAATAAAAAACATAGCGCACGAGAGTTAAGAGAGTTAACTATTCTTGAAATTTTTGTAAATCTACACCATAAGTTAATTTTAACGCACAAAACAATTTTTATTCAGAAAGTTTGTTTTACTAAGTTACAGACAAAACACAGAAAGACACTACACAGAAAGACACTACACAGAAAAGACACTACACAGAAAAGCACAATTGAAATGTAAGTCAATTGCGTTTGTTTTTGATTTTGTACGCTGGATCATTAGTAAAACTGAATATACCTGCTCTACAAATATAGGTTAATTGGTTATTTACGACTTCGATTTTTTTTAATTCAAATATTATTTGAATCAAAAAATTGAACGAATATTGTTTATTTCAATAAATATTATTAAAGGTAAGAAAATAATTAAAGTTTCTATTTCAATTTTCAGAGTTGTTATTATAACTTTAAGTTATCCATTAGCGCATTATGGCTACCTCATCGCGAAGTAAAAATCCCTTATGGAATTATTTTAAAGTGAGTGATGAAGATGTTGGCAAAGCCATCTGCATACTTTGCAAGAAGATTTTGTCTAGAGGAAGTAAAGACGCACACAACATGTCAACAACAAATTTACAAAACCATCTGAAAAAAGTACATTACAATATACATAGCATGATTCTTTCTCAGAAGAAAATTGTTTACCACGAATCTTTACCAAATCCAAATGAAAAGTCTATAAAACAATTTTGCACTACTCGAACAATATGCTCAGATAGAACAAGCTCTGCTGAATCAGTGCAAATCATTACCAGCACTGCCATTGATGAAACGCAGGGAAGCTCGCGTGTGTCTAATAACACAATTGCCATTTTTCAAAAAGCATCGACACAGGTAACTCAGCTAACTGTAGCTGAATTCATTTACTATTCAGTATTCATGATTTTGTGACTGGATGGGGGCATGTCTTGTCGAAAAATTATCTTTTGTATAGAAAAAAGTTAACTTAACTTATCTAAGCTTATAATATTATTATAAATGTTCTGGTGAGGAGGGAAAGATACATACCTCTATCCGCCACTTAGATCCGTCGCTGGCCATTGTTAGTTACAAGTTGCTAAGTAATTTTTTTAATTCGTTGAATTTGTTTCAGGTCTCACTGCGGGAGATTTTGCAAAGAAAAGAATTGTAGCAACTTGATAATCCTAAGGCTCAAGCTATTACCAAGCTCATTGGAGAAATGATATGTTTAGACTTGCAGCCATACTGCATTGTTGAAGATAAAGGTTTTACCCGACTTTTAAAGAACTAAGCTCCAAACTATACAATACCTAGTCGAAAGTATTTCTCCACAAATGTCATTCCACTGATGTACGAAACCATAAAAGCCAAAGTAAAATATGAGCTTGATCAAGCAGATTTCTTAAGTTTAACTAGTGATGGTTGGACCTGTCAGCACACAATTCAATCGTATTACAGTTTAACAGCTAGATTTGTAACGCATGAGTTTACAGTTAAACATGTCATCTTACAAGTTACACACTTCCCTGAGTCGCACACAGGGCACAATATAAGTAAATTCATAAATAAAGCGCTACAATCATGGGAAATTCCCCATGAAAAAATTCATGCAGTTTTAACTGATAATGCAGCCAATGTAATAGCTGCCATTAAAGAGTCAAATTTGGGCAATAAACATCTTCCATGTCTGATACATACTTTACAACTTTGTGTTCAGAAAAAGATCTTTAGAGAACAAAGAACAGCAAGTGATACAATAGCTGTTTTTCGAGCATTAGCAGGACATTTCCACCACTCATCTAGTGCTGTGGCTAAACTAAAGGAAATTCAAAGTCAACTAAAATTGCCAGAGCATAACATAAATCAAGATGTTTCCACAAGATGGAATTCGACATACTATATGCTTGAAAGGTTCATTGAGCAGAAAAAAGCTATTAAATTGTATTGCATTACCAGAAATCAAACAAATGCAAAAAATCCTACGGAAAATCAATGGCAACTTGCTGAAATGCTTGTATGCATATTAAAACACTTCGAAAGTACTACAAAAGACATGAGTAAAGAAACTGCATGTATATCAGAGATTATACCATTTATCTATGCAATGGAAAAGTTTCTAGACTACGCTTGTGACACGGCAACTGAAATAAAAACTGTTGTTGATGAACTTTAGAAAGATTTTAACTGTCGTTTTCAAAAATACAAGGATAATGTTGATTTAAAAATTGCGATGATGCTTGATCCTCGTTTCAAGTTAAAGTTTGTTGAAGACAAGAATCATAATATGTTTAAAGAAATACTCCATCTATTGTTCTACCGTTTTTGTTCCAAATCTCATTTAGAACAAGTAAAAAAAATTGAATTTGGTGTAGCAAGAGGTAGTGGATCAGACTCAGAAGAATCATTATGTTCATTTTCAGAATCTAAAATTCATGAGTCCGACTCAGATTTTGATGGCCATGGCTCTCCATTAAAAAAAAAAAACTAATGAGCATAGACATATATAGCTTGTTCCACCAAATCGGTGCAAATGAGTATGCTCTACAAAATTCAGAAAATTCTGACGGACGGAGAAAAAAGAAAAAAAACCCTAGTTCAATGGGAAAAACTCTAACTGTCAAAGAAAAATGGTAAGAAAACAGAATCTATTTATGATTTTTATATTGTTTATACATTAAATATTAAATATTTTTTTTATCTCTATTCTCAATCTCCATTTTTTATATTTCAAAAGACGGATAACAGCATTCTTTTATTTGGTTTAGTTGATTAAAATGTAATATTTTAAAAATTTAAACCTAAAATTATCACCTATATTTTATGTACCAGCACCAATGAAGTCAACTTCTACTTGAGCCTTCCAATACTGCCAAAGAATGAATGCCCTTATAAGTGGTGGAGTGCATACCGTTACACTTCCTCTGATAAAGATACTTACAAGTTGAATTTGTCAAAGTTTTCAAAGAAAGTTTTGTGCGCGCCTCCTTCATCTGTAAAAAGTGAACGCTTATTTAGCACATCTGGAAACATATTTGAAGCAAAAAGAAACAGACTACTACCCGAACATGGAGAACAGATAGCACTTTTAAATTGTAATATGCCTGCTTTCATTGAATAAATTATTATTAACTAAATAATAGACTGTAGCTTCTTAGTTTAAGTGATTCAACTTTTTAACAAAATTTAAAACAATTACAAAACTTTGTGTTCAAATTAAATTAATGACTACTTTTATATTTTTACATTTTACGTGTTTACATTTTTATGAATTCTTTCAAAGAAAAGACCATATTTTAGTATCAGTAAATGTCTAAGATTTAGTGATGTAATCTTTCCTATACCTGCTAGATATATAGAGTTAAGAGTCTAAATTTCACTCTCTAAATACAAATTTAGAAAAAAATTTAAACAAATTTTGTACTTTGTACAAAATTTGTTAAAATTTTTTATAATATTGGTTTTGTTTTATAATTTTCCTAAAATGGGCATGTAGGCCAAAACATTCAAACCTAAAACATTGATACATAATTTTAAAAGCAACTTGATTATTCAAACCACCGTGGTGAAGTAAATTGAGATTTAAATTACGTATAACTTAAGCCGAAGCTTCGGCTTCGGCAAAGTGGCTTCGGCCGAAGCTTCGGCTTCGGCAAAATTGCAGCTTCGGTACATCCCTGATAGGTACATTAAATCCCCCCTTTTTTAAAAATATAAAAAAAAAAAAAAAAAAAAAAAAGCATAAGTAATCATTTCTAAAGAATTCTTTTTATAATAGTGTCAGCATATTCCACAAATGTGTGAAGATTTACAGTAGTTAAAACATTTGCGACATCTTGTAATTTAATTTTTTGGTATAAATTGAAGTATTATTAATTTGATCATTCATTTCTGATGAGTCTTTGTTGATGAAACACAGTGTAAACTGAACAAAATTTTTGTTAAGTGATTTTCTACTAATTTATAATTGCTCTGTTCTTTTAAGAAGATTGAGCACTCTATTTTGTAGAATAATTATATAAATACATTTTTTTAAAAATTGTTTAAATATATATATATATATATATATATATATATATATATATATATATATATATATATATATATATATATATATATATATATATATATATATAGACATATGTATATATATATATATATATATATATATATATATATATATATATACATATAGGTATATTGTTTTTATATATATTTATTTATAGGTATATTGATTATATAAATATACATATATATATATATATATATATATATATATATATATATATATATATATATATATAATTTAAAATGTATTCTACAATTTAAAATATATTCTACAAAAAGAGTGCTAAATGTTCTTAAAACAACAGAGCAATTACAAATTAGTAGAAAATCACATAGCAAAATTTTTTCTCATTTAACACTGTGTTTCATCAATAATGACTCATTATTTCTGATGTGTCTCGATTTTTTCTCATTTAACACTGTGTTTCATCAATAAAGACTCATCATTTCTGATGAGTCTTTATTGATGAAACACAGTGTTAAATAAGAAAAAATTTTGATAAGTGATTTTGTATATATATACATATATATATATATATATATATATATATATATATATATATATATATATATATATATATATATTTATCTATATATATATATATATATATATATATATATATATATATATATATATATATATATGTGTGTGTATATATATATATATATATATATGTGTGTGTATATATATATATATATATATATATATATATATATATATATATAGATATATATATATATATATTTATATATATATATATATATATATATAGATATATATATATATATATTTATATATATATATATATATATATATATATATATATATATATATATATATATATATATATATATATATATACACACATATATGTAAACATATATATATATATATATAGTGTTGTCACGGTATTTCGGTACCAAGGCGGTACTAAAAAAATTTAAACGTCACGGTGCCAAGTTTTCTTAAGTACCGGTAGTACCGAAGACCCGTTCAAACCCGATTCCTTGATGCGCATGCGTGCAGTAGCGCGTCTTCTTTATTAAACTGCTGAGAAATGGCGACCGGTGGTGCAGCTGATGTGGTAGCTCTAAATCCACTTGTTGAGAAAAAGGAGGAAAGAGCCTTGTGTGGAATTATTTTGGATTTGCGGCTGATGACAAGGGGAATATCATTGATAATCAAAAACCCATTTGCAAACGATGTCGCCGAAGTTTTCTTTCAAAAGAACGAAACACATCGAACTTAACAAAACACCTCAAAGACCGACACCCGGATCTGACGAAAGAGTTTAAGCAGGTAAGTTGCAAACTAATTTAAAATATAGAGCTTCTGTTATGAATTATATATCATATTTTAATTTTCCAAAAATAAGTCTTACAGAAAGATTAAAATAACAATAATAAGCTTAAAAATTAAATTAAAAAAATATATACTTTTTTTACGTTTTTTTGCAACCTATTGTTAAGACTTTTCTTTTAATAAGTATTTCTGTAAAAAGTCGTGAGTAAAAAGTTGTTATTAAAAAGTCGCTCATAAAAAGTCGTTTGTAAAAAATCGTTTGTAAAAAGTTATTTGTAAAAAGTCTTATTTTGTAATATTTTAATTTACATCTTGTTGTTCCGTTATGGCATATTTTGTTTAATTTATAAAAATGTTAAAGTTTATAAATAAGAGTGATTATTCAGTCATGGCTTATTGTTTTGCTATTTATCTAGTTATTTAATTACTTAAATGTTTACAATCCTTGGCTTAAAATACTTAAATTATTTTTAAGTATTTTAAGTTTTTTACATTTATCATAAAATTTTAGTTTATTACTTGTTGGTCATGGCATATTTTGTTTAATTTATAAAAATTGCGTTTTTTAGGTTTGTAATTTTTCATTTATTATTTGTGGAAATAGTTGAAACACAATTTTAAACAAGTATGAAGAATGGCATTGTTTAACTTTATTAATAAAAATAGTGTGTTTTTCAGCTAGCATGTTTTTGTGTTTTGCTTTAATACAAAGAATTGTGAATTTTTATTGGCAAATTTAGTCTAAATTATTATTTGGTTTGGTACCGAAATTGGTATCGAGAACCGTGGATTTTTACTGGTATCTGTACCGAATACTGAAATTTTTTTAAATGAAGAAAAACAACATTATAATAGTACTTAAAGTTTCGTGCCTTTTGGTAATCATCAGCTATTTATTTCAAATTAAAAACGTAAATTCACGTTTGAAAAACGAATCAAAATTTTACGATAAAACGAGTTTTGACGTAATTTAAAAGGCGCAATTATTTAATCTTCAGTATCAAACGAAGATAACAGGAATCTATTTAAATGTCGACATTTAGATAATATCTCGCCTTTTTTATTAAGCAGGTTGTTTCCATTAAAAGATAAAATTTCTAATTTTTCACGGAGACAAAGTTTGCAGGTTTTTGTTTTTGGTTTGTAAGTTTCACAACGTTTTATAATTTTCTACTTTATAATAGGTGTTGAACCTTTTTCTCCAAATTTCTTTCGAAAGTTCATTATTATTTTTATATTTGATCGCAATAAAAGATTTTAAATGATTCGCGTACTTGAGCTTGAACGATGTATCACTGATGCCAAAACATACTTTTTTCTTAGGATCTGGAACATCTGAACTCGACGTGGCTCGGTAAACAATATTACTTACTAAACATTGGTTGCTTAATAGACAAGCGGATTTAGTAATACAGTTGCATGTTTTAGAAGTTATATTTCTTTGACTTTGCAAAATCTTGTGCTTGTGTGAGCTAATGATGGATTTAATATTGTGCATGCAGCTATAACTAACCTTGATCGAATTTCTATTAAATATTTTGCGTAGTTTGTGATTAAAAGGGAAGTGTAGATCCATCAATGCTAATAAACGATTTCCTACTTTTGTTTCTGCATTTCGACTTAACGGAGGGTTATACCTTATAATATTTTGCTTGCGATTTTTATTTTAAGGGTGATGTAACCTGGGGTTGGTATGTAAGCTTACAGTTATAGCACGCTTATTTAAAAGCTTCTTCGTAGGATGGCGTAGCATTATTTAAAACAACTTCATTTGATGACGTTGAAGACAATCTTATTTTAACAGT